CGGGGATAGGGCATTGTTGGGCCCTGAAATTGTGCAATTAACAACTGAAAAGGTTAAAATTATCCGAGAAAGGTTTAAAAACGGCACAAAGCAGGCAGAAGAGCTATCCAGATAACAGACGAAGGGATTTGGAGTTTGAAGTGGGTAGTTATGTGTTCGTGAAAGTCACTCCGTTAAAGGGACATCCGAGATTTGGGAAAAAGGGTAAATTAACGCCCCGGTATGTCGGCCCTTTCCAAATTCTGGAAAAAAGTGGGTTTGGTAGCTTACCGAGTGGCTCTTCCGCCGAGTATGAGTCAAATACATAATGTGTTCCATGTTTCTATGCTTCGAGGGTACCATCAGATCCATCTCATGTCATAGACTATCACCAACTTGTGCTGAATGATAAGTTAAGCTATGAAGAAAGACCACTTCGAATTTCGGAGCGACAAGTAAAGCAATTGCGCAATCGGGAAATTCCAATGGTAAAGGTAGAGTGGCAAGAACATTATGGCACTGAAGCTACTTGGGAAAAAGAGGAGGATATGCCAGCAAGTACCCACATCTGTTTCCGTTTTGAGGTAAAAGCAAGTTTGTGGGACCAAACTTTTTTAAGGGGGGGAGAGTGTAACAACCCGACCCTCGTATATGCTTGTGATATATGTCCGTCCTTTATTCTGTGCTGCTGAATGCCTAAACTGAAATTGTCCAAGGGAATAAGTTCAAGTAACTATGTTGTGATGCCTTATGAAATGAATTGTATCTGTTGAGAAAGAAATGTATCTGTTATTTACTCGAATGATAAAGTAGAATTGAGGGCTTTAGCAGCTTAATAAACCAAATTGAACATATATTTTGGAATCAGCATAATTTTTAGGTAATATTAAGCACTTCGTGAAATTTCAATTTCGGACATGTAAACGATCGAGTTTTGTCTTATTCTCTCCTTATAGATGTACATATATATGATCTTGGTTATTTGACAAACAAAACAAAAAAAAAAAAAAAAAGAGAAAGAGAATTCATCACCCTAGACTTGAGAAGTGGAGGGAAGAGGAAGAAGATCCTTACAAAGGTTGAGATTTGGGTTAAGGTATGTATATGTTGTCTAATTTCTATCCACACCCCTTCTTGTCATTAATTTATGTAAAGATGTTCCTATGATCTGTACCTAAGAGTTGGGATTGTATTGATGTGAGTATGAGAAGTAGTAAATTAGCAAGATGACCTTACCTGCATTTTTTCCTCTATTGGTTTGTTTGAATTCAAATATGTGGCACAATTTTATGTTATGAAGTGAGATGTGAGAACAAATAGAAATCTTGTGAATTGGAGTAATTTAAGTTGTGAGTTTATGCTTTGATTTTTGTTTACTCAAATGGAAGATGTAATTTGGTCCTTGTGCACATGTATTTACATGCTTTGAGCTTATATATTTGGTAATTTTAAACTAAATTTTTGAGGTCCTAACCATGTCTACAAGAGAGGGAAAATTGTGCAGAATTTCAGAGTTTTTGTGCAGAATCGCCGCACGTGCGGGGCCTAAGGCCGCACGTGCGGGAACCTCAGCCGCACGTGCGGGAAAATGGCAAATTTCGGACTTCAGCACTGCAAAAAAAAGCACGTGCGGGGCCTCAATGCCGCACGTGCGGGAGGTGTGCCGCACGTGGGGAAATCCTAGCCGCACGTGCGGCCCAGGGCAGAAAAATCGGGATGTCCGTTTTGCGTGTTGGGTCCTCTAATGTGGTCAAAACCTGCAATTTAATTATTTGAATGTTCGTTAATTGATCAAAGTAAGTGAATCGAATATTGGTTTAACAAAGATGAAAAGGAACTAATGTGATTTTTCATGTGTGTAGGAAACACCTCAAAAGGAAGTGCACCGCCACAACACAGTGAGTAATAGTACCTCAATGTATCCCTACTCAGCATGTATTATTTATGATGTTGTGACCTTGTAGAAAGTTTTATCGTACTACATTGATGTTGTATCTTGACGTTACGAATTGCACTCTTTAACTAGTGTTGGCATGAAATGATTGGTATGAAATGATATGTTGCCTAAGTAATTTGATACGAAATTGTGAAAATATTGGAAGAGGTTGTGAAGGGATACACGCCCTATATGAAAACTGGTGACTAATGGAATGTAACAAGGCAAGCGCCACTTGTGAACAATGAAATGTGAGGCACAAGCGCCATTTGTGAACAATGAAATGTGGCCTAGTGCCATTTGTGAATCAATGTGGCTTAGTGCCATTTGTGACTCGATGTGGCCTAGAGCCAGATGTGAATTAATGTAGCTATGAGTCCTAATGTGAAACTACGTGACCAATGGTCATTTGTGAATTGTGAACTAATGAGGCCAAGAGCCATCTGTGAATAAAGACATTATGAGGCCAAGGGCCGATGTGTGAAATATGAATAGCACTATGATGAGCTTGTGACTTAAACAGAACCAAAGGTTTATGTGATAAATTGTGAATTGTGAATCCAAGGACTCTTTCCGAATGTGTGGAGTTCTTAGGCCAGGGGCCACATTATGACAATTATAAACCGATTATGTTGTCCCAATAAGCCGTACAGAGACAGACTAATTACATGAGTTCGGCATTAAATATGTTTACAATCATACTAGCACTATTATTCACTGAGCTTGGCTCACCCTATGTTATGTCTGTTTCTGTAGGTAATCAACCAGGAGGTCGATCTTAGCTCGGCATCGTCATACTTTTGTCATCCTAGGCACAGCCAAGCCTGGAGTCGGGACCCTACTTTTGTGGAAGCTGTTAGATGTTGACTCACACTTTTGTTATTGGCTTAAGTGATATGTACTTATGACTTTGTTATACCCCATCTCGGGGTTAGTTCTGTCTATGTCTGTAAATAACTAACTTTCAAATGTATTTTGGCTTTTGATGTACTTGACCTGTAAAATGTTTTGATCCTGGCATAATTAGTGGCTCAATGGATGTCATACTTTTTAGTTTTTATTAATTATGTTTTATAGCTTCCGGGCAGGCCCCTCTATGGAACCAAGTTAAGTATCCTTTTCTGTGTAGGTCATGCCCAAACTTTTAGGGGCAAGTTAGGGGCGTGACACAAAATGTGCTAGAATAAAGAGCTAAAACATCATGTATTCAAAGCTAGTGAACAAGATTTACACTACAAGCATATGAAGCATGCAAGAGGCTATTAAACCAGCCATAAAAAAAGCCATGACATGCCAAATGATGACCAAAAACTCACTGAAATGGAGCTAATACATGCTAGATTGACATGCTACTTTGATGAGCCACAAATGGGATTACACTACACATATGAGAAGCATGCCAAGGTTGACGAAACCAACCATGGACATAGTCTAGGCGGGTCTTAAAAGTCACCAAAAAGTGCCTTAACCAAGCCTTGAAAGTATGAAAATGTATGCTCCTTTGATAGGCCAAAAATGCAAGTAAACAAGACAAAAAGAGAGAGGGTCACCCCTCTCTGATTTAGGATCTCAAAACCACATGCCAACCACTGAAAATCCACTAGATTTTAGTGGCTGAAAGGCCAAGCAAGGATTAGCTCAAAGGTCCTAAGGCATGGCACGAAATAAGGCCAAACAAGGCATGCAAGAGGGTAGAAGACCCTCAGCACG